CCCCAAAACCCCAAAACCCCAAAACCCCAATTTGCTAAATATTATTAATCAAGTATAACCTCAAAAATAAAATGAATGGGTCCGAACTTGGCTTCTTCAATAGGCTTCTCAAATGAAATCTTGTGCTTCTCTCTTCCTGTAACGCAGAAGAGAGCTTTCTTTTCGGACTTCTTTTTGAAGTAGTTGGAAACTCTATTTATGAAGAGGAGGATTACCTCTGGTTCATGTTTTTGAGAGGCATTTTGGCGCCCTAGAGGAGGTTTTAGGTGGATTGGAGGTATGGAGAGTGTTTAGTGGGGGATTTTGAAGTAGATGGGCTTTTACAGAGGTGAAAAATGTTAAGGATGAGGTTAGTTTGGGTGAGGAGGATGTACCTTGTATTTTGCGATGATAAGTCCTGAGCTTTGGATACTCCAGAAAAATTGGACTTTTCTGAAGTTTCTTTGGACTTCAGATTTAGATGCAGAATCTCTATATTTTAATTATGGTTCCAATTATTTAAGATTAAGAGCAAAGCATCATTAATTTCTTCTATTCTATTAGTGAAATCTTCATAAAATTTGTAGAAGAGAGTGAAGAACTTCTCATTTCATTTCTGTTCTAAACTCTCCTAAAAATCTTACAATAAAATGCAGTAGAACTGCTTGATGACAAGACTGGCATAATTCTTGAATGAATCTTTATCATCTACTTTCCAAGTATCCACCTGAGCATAGAGAGTCTTGTATCTATGATTGACTTAGCATGAAAGATTACTTGTTATGGTGGAATATTAACTTCTTGAAATCATCAGTCACATCCTTTTCGATAATATTCAGTTGACTACCAGAGCTATTTCAGTCACCTCATAATCCTACCTTTGTGTAATCTTACTAGTGTCTGGGGTATCTTTTGGTGTCACTGGAGATATTCTTCTCTTAAGAAAAGGATCTACATTAAATTTGTTAGCATTTTAAGAAAGTATCTTCCATCCTTACTAAATTGTTTCCCAGTTGAATGATTTATTTTCTCGCATTGTCTTCTATCGCTCGATGATCTACTTGAAAATGGAATAACCATATTTGAGTCAGAATGTTTGTCCTAAAGAGAATTAATCCTATTAAATGTTATACAGTATTGTGATCTTCGAATTTCTCATCTTCAACCAATATGGAATCTTTATTTTCTTCTATGACTTCTAAATGGAAAACAGGTGACTTATTTTATCCTACCTTTAATTTCTTCAACTTCTGAGACAGAAGGACTTGACTTCTTCAGAGCGTCATTTAAAGACTTATCTAAAGACACTCTTAAGTCCTTCTCATGATCTTCTTGTGAACTTTGGGAGATGCACAAAGGAATTACTATATCCCAATGAGTTTGAAAATACACATGATGTAATCAGGAATCATGATTAATCGAACTGAAAATCTGCTCCTTACCTCTTTTCTTTGAATATTCATCCACTCGGGTTGATTTGGACCCGCTCCTATCTCAGTTAAAAATGGTTTTTTTAACTTACATCTCTGAATGAATCCCATTTATTTCACTTTGCATTGGGACTACTATTTTAGAAGATCATTCTTGAACTAATTTTTAGAATTTGATTATATTTTATCTATCACTTTTTAGAGAGTTCCAAGAATTCTCCTCAAAAGCATTTATGACATAAACATTTAGAGGATATCTTCTTATGCCAGAATAAAGGGAAGAGTAGCCTCACTGCTCTTCAGGTACTTGGCAGTGTAAATGTATTAGTTTACACAAGATGAAGCTCTATTTTTAAAGGATTGTTCGAAGAAGCCTTTCTAACATACCCACTTTTTCTCTCCCGCTTTAAAAATAAAAATTTATTCAGAGATGCGGGAAGATTTTTACTTCAAACCCTCCTTCTTATTTTGATGAAACTTCAATATATTTTCATTAAGAAAGGATGCAAAATTCTTACCTAGTGAACTCTGGCTTAAAGGCAAAGCCTGACTTGTTTCAAAATTACGAGCTTTAGCACTAGGTGAAGCTCCTAATATCTTTGACTGTAATTGTGCTTGTGTTAGACAAGTCTGAGCTAGAATCTCAAATACTTTATTCTGCTGTTGTAGAATCTCTTTCAAATCTATACCAACATTATTCATATTCCTTGGAGATAAGTGCATGTCGTCCAATTCTGAATTGAGTTGATATCTTATATTAAAGAAGAGCTGTATCTTTTACCAAAAACTCAAGATTTCAATACGATTTTTAGCACAAGCCCTTCTACTTGTGACTCTGTAACATAAAATGTATTCAAGGAATCCTCATGGCATCGCAAAGTTTACCTTTAAATAAAATTTGTGAGTTTTGTTTTCCCTGCATGGCAAATATTTTTAATTATTCAACCTCAGTGAAACTATACGGGGTTTTGGGGTTTTGGGGTTTTGGGG